GCCCCGGGGAAGCCGCAGGCCCCGGCCCGGCAAGGCCCGGCCCTTCCCGTCCCCTCCCCTCGCGGGACGATGGGAAATGTAGTCTGCGCCGGGCTCGGGGGAGAGCCGGGGACTGCAGCCCCCCGGCAGCCGGGGCACGGCGGCTCCCCTCGGCTCCGCAACCCTCCCCCGGAGGCAGCGGGAGGAGCTCGGGCGGTGCGAGGGGCCCGACGGTTGAAACACCCGCCCCGGCCCCCGGGCAGGAAGGGCGGAGAGCAGCGGCAGGCGTGTGCCGTTTCCCCACGGGGCCTCGGGAGACTCCGGGTGCCCGAGGACAGCCCGGGACGGGGGTTTTGCTAACCCCAAGACTTGCCTTCAAAGACAGCAGGCTGGCTTTGGCACAAATAATCAGCCCCACTGGGCTTCGCAGCCCTGTCTCGTTTAATTGATAAGGAGTAATCACAGTCCGCCTTTCGAGACACCCAGAACCCAGTTCAGGCAGAAGGCGCCAGCCAGAGTCCAGGCACTGGGGGATTACAGCTCCAAAGCGTACAGCCCTTGTGCCAGGTAAGCCAGCAGCCACCTCTTCCAGCTCAGCAGGAGGAGATACAGGCCAGGTCCAGGGACCCCCAGGAGAAGCCGTGAATACCCCACCCGGCACTGCCACATGGCACAGCCCGGCTGGAGCTGTTGCCTGCAGCCCACCTGGGACAGTTTACTAGATGAACTTAATTAGTAACCACTGTTCCAAAGGGACAAGATTTAGCAAATCCAACTACAGCAGCGAGCCACACCAGCACTGCTGGAAACAGCTAATTGAAAACGTTAAAGTTCAGGTTAAAAAAACCCTCACACTTACCAAAGCCAGGTACAGGACAAAGCCAGGCCTGCTCCTGCCTCGTTTGCTTTTACTTGAGTTGTTACTTCCAGAAAAGCCCTGGGGAAGTGCCTGCCTTTGAGATTTTATAACATGTGGACCCATCTACCAGTGGCTTTCACCATGCATGCTGCCAGTCCACCTGGCAACATAGGGTCCTTCTGAAGTCTTCACCAAAAGGTGGCATTTCTAAAAGTCCATCGTTCAAATCAGACTGGAAACCATGGTCACAGACCACTCGTTTCAGTACTCTTCAGGGAGAATGGTGTAGCTTACAAGTGTCATTACTTGACATTGAAGTCAATTCTACTCGAGCAGAAGAGGCTCAACACTCATGGAAATGGTACCATCACTTTTTGTCAAAAGATGGATGAGTCCTAATGAGGATTCAGGGCCATTTGACAGAGTTTAAACGCTGTTTGCTGACAAGACACGGCAACTCATACCAGGTTGTGGCATTCAGGTATTACCTACCACTAACAGCAGCAAGACGAAAAAAAGTGTGCAATATCTTCACCAACAGCAAGGAAGTACAGCATTTGCTGTTACATCACTAGCTACTCCAAAAAAACAGGGGGAACAGTTTTAAAGAAAGAGCTTCTATGAATTATAGCTTCTGCTGTCAAACACTTGTTAAATCTTTGCTGTTGGCAGTGATCAACCAGCTTTTGCTGGCTTATGAGCCATAATATTACCGAGCAATGTGCCACAGACAGCTTTGCTCTCTGCCGGTTTTATTTTTCCTGTGGTTGGTTGTGAGCAGCAGCAGCAGAGGCAAGGATAGCTGTGGGACTGGGTTGGCTGCCCTAGAACACTGCAGAGCAAAGCCAGAAAGGTCAGGCTACAAATAAGACAAATAAAATCCAACTAATTTAAGGTCTTTTGAATATTTCATTCTACTTCACCCATTGAGATCCACTGAAAGCAATGCATGAAAGAAACACATTTTGTCTGAAAACACATTTTTGTAATTTATTAAATCTGTACATACAGTTAGCTAGTACTGTTCTCATTAGCATATTTTTAATCTGCTCCTCCAACATCCCTCCCCAGGTCAGCAGTCTGCTCTGTTGAATAAACAGAAGGCAAAGCCCTTTGCCTCCTTTGGTATCCTGAACAGTATTGGTTCCATTCAACCTGAAAGACTCAGCAGCCAAAAGGCAAGTTTGATTATTTTATTTAAAATTAAACATTTCTTTCTGTTCAGCTACTATGTGTGGAGCCAAATGTTGTGTCTGATCATTGTTAGTGCCAGGAAAAACTCATCCATGAGAAGTGATCCAAAATTAGAGACTAACAGATACCAAAGCTGTCAGAGAACCTGCTTCTCAGATGTTGCCTCAGAACTGCAGGATTTGGGTTTATGTTGAAGCTTTTTACCATTTTAAGCTCAAAGTTGCTCTTATCTGTTGTGAAGAGAGGTTTTATTGTTACTGGACAGAGTTATTGGTGTTGAAAAACAGCAACGATTTTGCTTAGTTGCAGTTGCACTGATTTCACTGGGCACCAGGAGGTTCTGTTAAAAGCTAAATCTTTCACCTGTTAAATCCAGACAGCACTGTGCAAGTCCCAAGTCAATATAAAAACAAAATTAAGCAAATCAGAGAAAGCTCCTTGGAAATACATGGGTAGGAAAAAAATCTGGACACTTCACTTGGGATTGTCGTTTTCTTGAAGAATGCCTTTAAAAACCAGAAGAACATCCCAGAACAATCTGAAGACCCAAGGACCTTGGTCAACTGATTTCTGCCCTCAAATACTGGCTTCATCATTCCAGGTCAAATTTGCAGTTTGTACCACTACATGTGGTTTTTCACATCAAATCACCATAAGTAACATTCGTAAAGTGCTTTGAGATAGTGCTGTGAAAATAGTAACAGTTAAAAGAAGGGCAGAACATCTATTATCAGCACCTAGCTGATTATTACTAGTTGTTTTTTTTCCTCAGAGCAGCATCACTATATTCTCCTTTCACTTCCTATTAACAAAGAGTAAGGTGCCAGTGTTGAAGATGGCACACAGGCAAAAGGAGTTTCTGCAGGGCAGTGAAAGAAGGATGTATTGGAAAACATGAAGATGTCTTCTGGAAAGATGAATAAAACAGAGCTCCAGAGAAGGAGCTTCAAAGCTACACCAGGAAAGTAGTGCCACATGCAGATTCATGTGCACAAAACTATGGAGGAGGCTTTAGATAGCATAAATATTTGCCAAACAAGGAGAGAGGTGGTGCTAATCTTAAAAAAAAATAAATAAAAATCAAGACATTGATGCTTTTTGCAGGACAAAACTGCTCATTAGAAGCTATTGCCTGAGGGCTGTTAACTACTTAGTAGTAAAATCTTGCTACCTTTCCAGTTGACAGTAACTTCTCTCTAGTTAGCAGCTTCACCAAAGCAATCCTTGTATGAATCCATAAAGCTTTCCCAGATTTTTAAAAGGTTAATTTTACCATTATAATTGCACTTTAAAAACAGGCATCAATCCCTATGCACTCTCCCCAAACACCTCCTTGATTTATAGAAGTGGAAAGAAAGGCTACAATAATTCACTGTCCTACAGCTACCAGGATTGAAAGGTTTGATTTAGGTGCCTGAAGAAAGGATGGAAACACCCAGTTTTCAGGTCAGAAAAAGTGTGCATTTTAAAAATACAGCAGGCTTCACAGCTTGGATTGCATTGGCTTCAGGTGTTTGTGAAAAGACTCATGAACCTGTAAGAGGACAAGACAGTGGTTATAACAAGGTCAGGGCTAAGCTTTAAAACAGTTTCAGCTCTTTGCATCTTGCAGTGTGTTTTTATACTAAGAAAACTTGAATCAGAGGCACTTTGGGGATTTCAGACCAGCCAGCTAAGTCCTGTATTTGAGCATCTATATGACAGAAAGGATGAGAATATAAGCCAAAACAAATAGCTTCCCCACTACCTTTCTTGTAAGAAAAAAGAATGCAAGACATTTTATATCCATACAGACAATTCTTTGGCATTTTAATTCAAAGAAAACTGGCAGAGGCTTCCTAAGGGGACTGTAAAGAAGCTCCTAAGCCCCACTGACTTCATAAGCATAAAAAAAATCGAGTAAGTTCTGGTGGGACTTAACTACAATCACAGGCTCTGGCAGCCTGTCGCAGGAGATAGGCTGTCCAAATCAAACAAAGGTAGTAAAGGCCACCAAGACAGGATTTAGAGTTCTGTTTCGGCTGATGAAGAGGGACACTGACTCTTCTCAGCTCAGTTTCTTTTATTCGCTCAGTTGTAGCTACAGCCTTAGGGCAGATATGCAACACCTGACACTTAAGTACTACATGAGAGCAATTTATTTTCTTCTCCAGTCACTACTACTGCCTGAAGGCACTGAAAGATTTGCCAGAAAACCGGTAAGGCTTTCACAGCTACTGCCACTAAGCAGAATTAACAGCAAGTGATGATTTCTTTTAAATTGAATGAGATTATTCAATTATTTCTCTAGGGAGAGTATGATTTCCTCCCTCAACTGCGAAACTCAAAAGTATCCCACAGGGATGCATGTGAGGTACACATGGGAGAGTAACTGAAGAAGGTATGCTGAAAGCAGAGGAGCAGAAGTAGGTTGCTAGTTTTGGTCCATTACCACTAGTGACTTTTCTCCCCCCTTCATCAATTACATGCCGAGATCACTGAATCAAAATAAAAATACCCTAAATTGGGTTATTTCTCTGGACACATGACCTAAAGATGAAGAAATAAGGTTTCTTTACCTCTGTTTTGTTTAGTGGGGATTTCTTTGCCCACTCAAACATGTTCTCATAGACATTGCCATCATACCGGCCAAGCACAGATCCAAGATGAACATCATGGAAGTCAAAGGAGTCTACCAGCGCTACTGCATTGGGACGAATTATAGCTAAGAGCTCTTTGACACGCTGGTTCACTTGAGTAATTTGGGCATCAGTCAGAATACCCGCCTGGGGGGGGGGGGGGGGGGGGGGGGGGAAAAAAAGAGAGATCATCAGAAGAGTACACAAGTCGCAAGACCCTTCCCTTCCCCTACAGTGTAACATAGGTCAGCCTTCCCCCACACAAAAATGCAGCTGTTCATAAAACACTAGGTTTTTATTTCGAAGTGCTAAGTAATCAAATTGGCAATTTGCCGTAGTGTACAAGCAAAAGGAGATGCCCAGCATAGCCTACCATACTGCGTAGCTATTTTTTCTTTGATGGGGCACTCATTCTTTAGAGTGGCTGTATGTTAACTTTAATAGCAAGTTTTCTTGAAGAATGCACTTATGTGTATATTAAATTCTTCCTGGTTTCAGGGAACTTTTTGGTAAGCAGCAAAGAGGAAAATGGGAAGAAAAAACATACTACATCTCCCTGAAGACAAAATAAAACACTGCTGCACAAACAACATTCTCAAACTGAAAGAATGAAGAGCAGAAAAGTAACGCCTGACAATTCAAGCCCATTCACTGAAGGATGGGTTAAGATTTGGAGTACAATATCCCCCTTCTGTGCACTAACTTACAAATGCATACAGCTCTCAGAGCATGTCTAACTTACATCTCCTTTATCAACTCCTTGTTTTTTAACATACAACACCTGGTCACCAACTGGAAAACATTTAAGCTAACCTAGACAGATCTATGTTACCATTTATCATCCCACTCCACTTTTGGCAGATCACAAGGGAAACTTGCCAAGAGCCTTCCATCAGACCTGCACTGCTAACGGCCTTCTGGAATTCAACAGTCAAGACTTATGCCTAAGCATTTGTGCAACTTTACATTTTAAGCATCTTTGCAAACAATGACTCTGGCTCTAGAGATTTAAAGTGTTGGAGAAAGATACCAACCTGCAAGAAATCCCCTGTGTTCTTACTGATCCCATACAGTGCATACAGGAGACACAGCTCAGTCAGGACAGCACGGACAGCTGCATTACTAATCTCAGCCAGCTTTGCTGTGAAAAGCTTCACTATTACATAGTGACAGTGTGCCTACAAGAAATTAAAGGTGAATCAGGTTCATGAAGAGATGAGCAGCTCTTATAGCACATTTCTTTATCAGGCACATCACTGACCTCAGATGCTCGCACAAGATCAACAGAAGTTCTGTTCCAGGCATCCTCCTTGCTCTTTCTGTGGTTCAGTTCAGCTTGCAAATTCTTTGCTGCAGCTTCTACAAGCCTATTTCACAGAAGGAAGAAAAACAGATTACGCAGTAACACCACATTAACAAGATTATGTGCACTGAATTCATATGAATTTCAGTCTAACACATCAGAAGAACTCAGAGGTCATGTGCCATGACTGAATACATTGCCTGGAGTGAGCAGTTGTGGCTCTAAAACCCCTATCACCACTGCTGCAGCTAGAACACTGCTACAGAAGGGTAGGACGACATTTGACAGCACATATGTGGTGCCTGAATACCTACTCACACGTAGGCATCTGTTCTACTCTCACACTTTCTTCACAACAGGCTTTAATATCAGGATTGTTTCTCTCCAGATAGATCTCTGAGCATTTCGAACAATGTTGGTATTTGCACACTCAAATATACTTCACATTTAAATAAGAAAAAGATGTTTCAATATGGAACAGAGCAGAGTATCTAGGCTATGTATAAGCTGTACGTAGCCTCCTGTAACCTCAAAACACTTAACACTGACCTCAATCTAGTAAAGTGTGTCACTTCCTGAAAGCAACACATGGAGCAAAGCTTTGTAAACCATACCTTGAGAATCTAACATTAACAGGGCAGTGCATCACTACCATCTCCCAACACACACAATTTTACTAGTGCTTGGCTCAGTCTTATATATGTGAACTCACCGGGCAGCACGTGCTTTGTAGGCCTCTACCAAGCTGACTGGATCATTGATACGCACAGCCACAGACCTAGCAGCCACATGCTGTGGCTGAATGCGTTGCCTGGAGAGATCATTAAGGTAGGACACCATGCCAGTAACCTGCTGCCCAGAACTAACTTGGGTGTAGCTTTTGACAAGGAATCTGAAAATAGAAACAACAAATAGCAACTCTTAATCATGAGTTGTTTGAATGGAGATAAGTCATCTTACTTAGGGTCAGACTAGCAAAGAATAGTTGTAGGCATACTTTTCTGTCAAAAATAGGGCAAGGGACAGAAACATGAAAGACCAGTTTCATGGTAACGGGATACTCTTCTGCTCATCACTTCAGCTACAAAGATCATAATGCCAAGGCAAGAATGTCTCTAGACAGAAGCTACCATACCTAGCTGTCTGCAGCATCATGACTGTGTTTTCTCCCTCGTAGGTGCAGGACGGGGTGAACGTGACATAGATGTCAGGAATGCCACTGCATCGAGAGTAGCCATGCCCACCACATGCCATCCGACATTCCTCAATACCAGCATTGGCAGTCCAGGAAGTGAACGCCTTCAGCCCTGCTGTCAGTGCATGGAGCTGAGGGACAAAGCAAAGCCAGTTCAGTTTTTTTTATTTTCCATTCTTAGCTTGCATACATACATGCCAAGTACTGCAGCTCCCAGAAAAAAGCAGAGTCAACACCATCCTTCCACAGTCCCATAGGGTCTTGTTTTTCTTTTAGGAACTCTCTCCTGAGCCAAACTGTTTATATGAAAACCTCTGTACATGTGAAGACTTCCAAGTACCCCATTCTTCCTGTTTCTAGGCATTGTACGTACAAGACTGTTTTCAATTGCCTATTGTCGCATTACGTTCTCAGACAGAATCCCTAACTGAAAACTAACATTTTACAACCCTAACCCCTCAGTATAGTACTGATACCTTTGACCAACACACGAGTTCTACCCTAGTCACTTGGAAGAACAATCAAGAAGCTACAGCACAAGCATAAGACCAGTCTTAACTCCACTCCCAAGCAATATGCCATCATTCCTGAAAAGTCACATTTAAAAAAAATATATTCACAGTAGCTTTCTCACTGTGCATTACTCCCTGTTTTTTATAAAGAGCTGCTAAATGAATAGTGCAAATAAAGAAGTAAAAGTCACCAGCACGTACTGGGCTTGGGATCTCTGAATCTAAAGTATTACAAGAAGTCTCATGAGTGAAACCCAAAAAGGCTTGATGCCTTTTCTCCCACGCTGTAAAGAAACCTTACATAAAATCAACAAACACCCCTCTGATTTCCAGAGGACACAGTACCTCCGGCAGCTCACTCAGATCCCCTTCATGGATGTCTCCACTAATACGATGATAGGTGTCTTTTATGTAGGCTCCCACAAAATGAAAAGCATATGCTGTTGCCAGGAGAGGAAAGAGTTTGTATTGTTGAGTCTGATAATCCAAGATCTGGGGTTCTGGTTCCCTAGAGCAAAATACAGATGAGTTAGTATGCCAGTGGCTAGCGAACTGCTGCAGAAATCCCATTCAACTCTAAGTAGGTTCTTCACTTGGATAACACAAGCTGCATCTGTATCAAGCCAGACTATCTAAGACCATACAGCAAAAGCCTCTGGCAGTGGGGGAAGGCATTTTGGAAGTCAAGAATGAAAGATGGCTCACTTCCCAGGATGGAACAGTGTTTTGAAACTATCAAGTGCCAAAGCAAACAACATCAACCACAGTCCCTCTTCCCTCCAGTATTTGAGAATTTTCCCTCAGCACTTAAGGCTGCTCTTTTATTTCACGACACTTACCCTGGCTTTAGCTCAGACTGGTGTCTCACTGCACTATAGCGGATGGCAATGGTACAAGCCCGGGACAGGGAGCGAGCTGAATCGCCTACAATGAGAGATCGGATGAACACCATGGTCCCGTACGTTAGTTTGTCACTGAGCGGTTTCACATAGGTGCCATCTGGTTCAACCTACAAAAAAAAAAAACAAACCCAAAACAGCCTGTTGATTTTTAAAGTTTCTTCCCTTTTACATGTTGACATGGCAAGCTCTAAACTCATCACGTAGCACTCACAAGCAACCTACAATCTTGTTGGCCTGCTATTCAACCACACAAGAGCATTTGAAATGTCCATTTCTAACAGCTTATGCTGAAATTCACTGCTTTACCTGGGCATATTTCATCAGCATGTTTTCCCGAGGAATTCGGAAGTTGTCCATTTTCAGGTAGCCATTATCCATTTCATCATAACCAAATTTTGGCCCAATGTCACCCACTGTGATACCTGCCACAGACAAAGCCACGTGCGTTAAGAAATAGGAACTAAACCCCACAAGAGGTTCAAGCCTTCTCCAACAGACTGGTTAGTTTTCTAGCAAGTTCTGGCATTGTTAGGAGTAACAGCTAACTAGGACCTTAATCTCTTTGATGGAAAAGTGGACATCAAAACATGAGGATCTTCATAATTTGCATGCAGTCCTACGACCCAGTCACTGGGGGAGCTGTCTCTAAAGATCATCCAGCTCACTTCTAGCTAGACAATGATGAAAGGTGTTCTTTCCCTTTCAGAAAGTAGGACACACTGCCTCCCAGAATGCATAGAGGGGAAACACTGGGACAGAATCAAATTGCAAACTAATCTTCACATGGAAAGCATGACATGAAAGATGATTTAGTGGTAGTTCAATCAGAAATACTCCTTTAAGCCCTGTGACCTACCAACTACTCACTGAAATCAGCTAGTGAAATAAGTCATGTACAGTAAAAAGACACATGCAGCTGTATATAGCTGGAGAGAAACAGATCTAACATATTCCATGAGTGCTAAACCCTTAACATTCGTTTTTACCTGGCAAAGGCTCATGGGTGCCCAGCTGCCGTATGGGAACAATGAAGGCATGCAGCCCTTTGCACTGGCCCTGAGTGTAGAGCTGAGCCAGAACAATGGCATGGTTCGACGTCTTTCCAACTGCAAAAGGAGAGGGAGTCAGAAGGAAAACAAACAGTCAAACACACTTATATACACAGAGTCTCTTTCCTTAAAGCAGGATCTGAGATTACCTTAACCAGATTATGTGTTAGAAAACCAGATTTACAACACGGGTTATCATTTGAATTCTACAGCTAGACAAACAATGTTGCTCAAGTCAATGAAAGTTGCACAATACGATTCTCTTGATTATACAATACCAAGTCCTTGGCAAACCTGCCAGTGGAGCTGAAGGAACTATAAAGATTTTGATACAACCGATCAAAAATTACAATAAATCCATGCAGTGTGAATGATTCTGAGAAACAATTCAGAGCACACAGATAATCCAAAGTTTTAGTAGGCTCTGATAAGTCTGTTACTTGTTGTGCAAGAGTAACTGCCTTTCAGCCAACTCTTTGGATGAACTTTCAATCATCATTATGTAGATATAATACACGACATCCCCTCCCTAAGTTTTTCCATACATCTTCCAGATTTAGACACACAGTGATGCACTTACGTCCGCCTGGCCACCACTTAATGGAGGTCACAGTGGGGCTGTTGAGGATGAATTCCTGGGTAGCAGGGTCATAAGTAGCTGTAGTTTCTAGACCCCGAAGATGAGTTCCTGAAAATAAGCAAACACATTGTTTTGGCAGAAAGTCAGTCACAAAACAGAGACAAGGACAGAATTGGACAATGGAAAGTTGAACTCCAGTAGTAATGTACAAATTTTAACTTTGCTTTTAGGCTATATAAAGGACTAAATATCAATCAATTAAGGAAGAACAAGTGAGAGTCGGACCATATTCTGGGACCTGAAGCCAGTTCTTAGAAAACATGTTGGTTTTTTTCCCCAGTGGTCTAAGACTAGTTTTCCAAGCACCTCCAATCTGACACCCTTCTGCTATTACACAAAGAAGCCCTTTCTCACTTAAAAGGGTCCACAAAAACATGCTCACCTGGATTTCACTAAAACTGAAATCTGATTAAATTGCAAAATAAAAATCATATACTTTTCAGCCACAAGATGAATTAAGTAGTACCCATCGTCTCTTCATTCCCTCATCAGGCCTACATTCTCCCCACTTGATGGAACAGTAACGAGATCATCCATAGCTCCAAGACAGCAAGTAATGGCATGCATACGCTAGGGTACTGATGCAGGTAGATGAAGAGATTGCAAAAAGATGAAGGTAACAATTCCAGAAACAGTATTTGCCTTCTGCTCCCAACTCCTTACTTCGCACACACCTGTCTTGGCAGTGGCATTGTCCATGCATGCATATTAAAAAAAAAAAAAAATCCCCAGGCCTACTTGCTTAAACTAGACAAGCTGTGAACACTCCTGATAGTCTGGACTGATGGAGCAAGACGAGAGCCAGTGACTCTACACAAGAGTGTCAACATGAAAAAGGATATCACCTTGATGCAACCACGTTTCCAAAGCATGGAGTTAAAGGTAGACTTCCACAGGCAGCTTAACACAGACTTACTTTGCTGGTAAAGGATCTTCAAACCTCACTAGTTGCAAGAGATTCTCCACAGACTTGCAGTTACTTTATGCTTCATACAGTCTCTACATTTCACTTCAGCACAAAAGGTCAATCCTGCCCACCTTCAGAAAATATTCTCATCTGAAACTCTCAGATGTCAAAATAAAAGTTTCCCAGGGCATAGTATCCTCCCTTTGAAACTTGGATTAGAAGTGTTGCAATCACAATACTGCTGGAGTTATCAAAATCCATTTCAAAGCTTGAAAGCAAAGGAATACCAACGAAGAACAAAGTCTACTTGAGACAGAGAATTTGAAGGAAAAAAAAAAAGACATTTCATGGTCCAATTAAAAAGAACACATGGGAGTGAACTAAAAAACTGGGGGAATAAAGCTCCCCACAAAACATGAGCATCAGAACCAAGTCATCCACATGTTCTCTGATCCAAGGTCAGTCCCAAGGTGGCAAGCAGCTCTTACTTTTTTTTTGGCATCTCTCTCAGTACCTTAAAGCTCTGTCCTTTTGTCTTCACACTCAATGTTAAGTAGAGCAAAGCAGAAATCACACTGGAAAGAACGGTAAGTGTAGAAATGAACAGATGTCATCACGTTGACATCACTATAACCATATGCAGTAATTTATACTGGTTTGATTCACACAAGAGGGGCATTCTGTATGCTCATATATAGAACTACAGACATCAAACTCTCCCATAGGAGAAAAAAAGGGCAAGCAGCATGTGGCATAATGATCTATTAAAAATTTCAGAGGCAGTCCACTTTTCCCTGTAGCCACAAATGCATGCGTAAAGACTGTGGGGTAAACACACACCATTTTTCCCAGGCAAGGGAATCCTTTGTACACAAAGCCATTCTTAGAAATAGCATTTAGTGAATGTACTGTACCATGGCCCATTTCAGTCTGGGCATAAGTGCCAATGATCTCCAGGTTCCAGGCAGGCATGAAGAAGCGATCCTGCTGCTCTGGGGTTGCCTGGGTGAGAAGGGTGGGGAGGAACATGCCCAGATGAAGGTCCAGAGGCTCAGGCCGTCCACGATGAACAAAGCTGTGAAAGAAGTGTCATGGGATGGGAGCGTGAAGGGAATGTTATGGGAGAGAAGCAAGCATGAGGATTCATGGTGGAGATTCAGGAAGAGACAAAAAGAAAAAAAAATTATTCATGTGTAAATCAGAATTCAGCACGTGTATTTTAGAAAGCCAGAGCACTGTCCTTTTCTCAGGCCTGAATAGTAAGAAATTACACTTAGTCTGAAATAAACATGCTGCAATGCATTTCTTTCTAACCAGACATAAAATGCATTTGCAATATTCCCATATTTTTTACATACCATGATTGATTAAAAAAAGGATTAATCCAAACCACAGACCAGACCTTCACTATGGTTTGGAAACCAGAGCATCCCTAAGTTAAACAGGCTGAGTCAGAATGTCTGTTGAGATGTGATCTGGCTGGCTGAAGCAAGCCTTCACCCAAAGATATGAAGTCTACTTCCCCCCTCCCCCCCCGCCATGGTTTGAGGGTAGAACCTGGTAAAAGTCCCAGTTTATCCAGCTGAATGAGCTAGGTTTTCTCTGAACTTTCTTTTTTTAAAAAAGGAAAGTCCTAACTGTCTGTACTATCTACTTCACTACTTTATTTATTAAAGATCAGACACAGCTAGTGTATATTACATTCTAACTCAACTCCCTTCAACTTCTACTATTTTTAAAAGCTCTCTTAAAAGGACAGTGCTCTGTATGCGTAAGTCAAAGCTGTGAACATAAACAACTTGGAAAGAAAGCCAACATTTTTCAACCTGCGCATCACCAGCACAAAGTCTCTCCAATTAAATATGTTTCATTAGAACTACTCTTCCTCCAAGTTCTGTCAAACACCACTGTTAGATTGTTAAGTGGTCTATTAAGTTTTTCAATATAAAGAATTAAATGCTTGTTAAATCTTTAAATATTGATAACTTTCAGTATTAAAATACTGGGGATATAGACTGAGGATCAGTACCTTCTCTACAAAGGTTGTCCATCTGGCCCATTTGTGTATGAAATAATGTAATTGGTCTTTAACAGGAATATATGAGATATGCATTATGGAAAGAGCACTGATCTGAGCTTAGCTCAAACTCAGTTGGCATTCTTATCAAAGTGGGAAGAATGCATTCTTGCATTACCTCTAAACACACATTACTATGAACTAGCTCTATCCCTAGAGCTTCTTAAGAACTGTAGTTCTTTTCCTTGATATTCTCAGGCACCTACAAATAAATTCAACCAACTAATAAACCCAGTAGAAATGTTTTCTAAGCTTTTTGACTAACAATGACCAAGCTCAACAGGGGGCTAATGAGTTATCAGGAATACCAGATTTTAAGTGAATTCAGTACTGGTGAGAAGTACACAGCTGACAGTCAAAGACTGAAAGAAAATCCTTATTTACTAGCAATAGCTATAAATCAGGTAGAAACAGTACAGTATTTTCATTACTTATTTTTGCTTACTTTTCAGCCCTGTGCTACTCGTGCTTTTTCCTTCTTTTATTTTTTCGAGACTTATTCACTATGGAATAGGTTAAAATCAACACAGGCCATCAAGTAGGTACTCGCCAAGATAAAACTGAGTAACTACCCATGAAGGCTAGGATTCAATTCAATAATCCAGAGGTCTCTTTCCCCATCACCAGTTTCTAAGCATCAGGATTTTTATTTTGCTTAAATTTAAGCTCTGCTTAAATTAAGTAGAGCTTAATGACAATTAGTCAACATTCACAGCAGGAATGCCAAACAGTTGCATTTTAATTATTCAGCATGGAAAGCATATTTACTTTACCATACTATCACCATATTAGTTCTATTAAGTGTCAAAATACTAATTTTACCATCAAACACCACGAGAATTATAAGTAAACCAGACCATCACCAGGCAAGAAAGTGCAATGATCTAATGTGAAATAGCAAGTAAAACAAATCACTTCGGTGTGGATGTGTGTCTGATTTAAAGAAGTTGGTGTGAAAAAGCAAACAAGGTCAGCAGGCATTTATTGTTGCCATCCAGTTGTCTCTCAGCTTCTGGTGTTGAGCTAGGTTTGCTCACTCCATCTCCCTCAAGTAGAACAGATGACAGAACTTCCTCTATTGCATCTTCTACAAACACTTCAGCTACCATAAGTAGCTGTAACTGAACAGCCAGGCAATTGGCATTACCATCTAACTTTTGCAATTGTCCAGACTTGTACATATCATGCTTTCCAAGTTTAGGTGCCAGCACAAGCACAGGAGTCTTTTGTTGTTAAACTATTCTTGCTGGTATTTAACCACCATAATTCCAGGCTCTGGGCTAAAAGACTGTTTTCTGATCCATTAAACGTTCTTCCATTTGAAGAAGTGAAAGTCGTTTTCAATAATAGTAGGAATAAGATGTTTTTCTTCTTTGAAACCAGGGTCTTTCCATGAAGTTGTATAGCTGCAATGGAGTAGCATCTGGAAAAAAAGTGCTTGGGGCAAAGCATACCTTACTTTCAAAAACATAAATGTACAATCTCACCATGGTACATTGCATCTAAAGGTATACTTCTGACCTGTTTATGCAGGCCAGTTGTGCACCAAGAACTCTGAGATACACATGCCCCAAATTCAGGCAAAAATAAAAACCACAGTACTGTTGACTGACCTGTTCCAACCAGTTCAAGTGAAATTCAGACTCCCAGGGCTTAAAAACAACTACAAAGTCAGTTATCAGCTAAGAGGTGCATTCTGGAAAAGAAAAAACTAACTCTATGATTGTTGGGATGTGAAATGAAGCAGCTGTCTGGCTACAGAGCAGGAAATATCAACAGTTAACCCAACTATTTTACCTTTCCCCTTTTAGATTTACCTAGGGAGCATCATCAATTTACAAACTGGAGTTAGAGAAAAGAGGTTACCCATTGATCCCTGAAGGGAACTAACCATGTCCCATTTCGGTTTGGGCGTAGGTGCCAATTATCTTGACTCCATGGACCAGGGGCAGCCATTTCTCCTTCTGAGCATCAGTCGTTTGTGTCTCTAAGGTTTTTTGAAACATGCTGAAGTGGAGACCGAAAGGTTCAGGAAAACTGCCCAAGCATATTCTACAGGAGAGAAATAGAGGGATCTGGATCTCAGTCTTACTGTTACCGTGATCCTGAAAGGCTTTTCTCCAACTGTAGCATAAGATAAATAATCTCTGCTTATTTCAATCCTTTTTTGTCCTCCAAGCAACCTCCAACTATAGAGGCATCAGAAGCAATGCTAATGGGGAAATAAATGTTTCTTTCAGGCATTTTCTTCACCCCATGAATCCTGCTGTTGCTATGTAACTGGAAAAAATACTATTCTACAAAGATTCATGGGTAACTTAAAACTGAGGACATGAAAACCAAATTATTTTCTCCCCCTTCTCTCAAGCTTGGTGGGAATAAATCCCACTGCTGCTGGTAGCCTAGAACTAGGCCATTATTAGCTAGAAGCACTATGTATTGAAAAGGAAAAGGCTTCTTAGGCGAGCAAGTGCTTGTCAGGAGCGCTCTGTATTACCTGTAGCTGGTTCTATCAGTTGTGAGATCAGGAACTCACCTTCAATTAAAATTACTGTTACAGGCTAGTGCTGGAGGGAATGCAAGGAAAATCAGACATTTTAGGTGTGCTTCATCACAACAGAAATTATTTCATGACAGAAAGCTCTATTCATTTAGTAGCCATGATGGCAGGCAAAGTACATTCCCAATTAAAACAAGCTCTATAACACAAACGTGCCAGAAAATTTCACTGTGTAAAAGCTATGTAGTAAATGACAGCATCTTCCCTTCAACATTCTGCAGTCTGAACAGTTTTTTCCATCTTCAATCTACTGTACATGAATGCTTATTGCATCCAAACTCTTAAGATGGAGGAGGAAAAAATGAGCACTCTGCATAAATACCTACATAAAAGGTCTCTGCCACCTACCCAAGACACCTACAAGGGAAATAACGTTCCATCCTGAGGTATTAACACCTGCCCAGGGAGCACATTTAAGAGTTTGTTGCCAACACAGATTTGTACTGCATAGCGGATGCTATGCATCTAATTTGTCAAATTACAGCAGCATTTGTGATTGGCATTTTACACCATGCCTGGAATGAGTGGGAACAGAGAGTAAATAATTGATAATTCAAAACCAGATCCCTATACAAACTGTGAAACTCAGCCTTAGGGCAAGAGAAAGCAGGACAAAGCTTCTTTGACACCACTGAACTGCATGTTGAAGACACTTATTTTAAATGGACAAGACTGAAAGAACCACAGATTCTTCCAGAGGAAAACTATTGTAATCAAGTAATCTAGACTGGTGATTAATGTATTAACTGTGATTTAAGCTGGTGTGAGGGCAGGTACAGTGCCTAGAGTTCTTGGAATCAAGGCAGACAGTTCTCTTACCAGAAAACATTCTATTGCCTATGGCAGCACAAGTTTACAAAGCCAAAGTTATCAGGGTAACCAAGGGCTTAAAAATGCTACAAGGACAGCTAGACGGAATATTTTTCAGCATTCTTACAGTTTCCTACGTGAGTTATTCTTTTAGTCCAGGACCCATATAGCAATAGCAGCACCCTTTACTTCCTCACTGCCTACAGCAAAATTACTGTGCGTCTATTCCTTGGGCCCAAAAAGGACAAACCTACAGGGAGAAAAAGAGTGCTGACTTTGAAATACACTGTTCCAGGGCAGCTTGGGAAGAGCTTGAATAGTTCTTCACATATTTTCAGAAGCCATTGAGAGAAACTTGTGAAAAAGGTACAACACATGCTTTGCTGTCAGAAAAACCAGGTCAGACACTGCTTCTTTGAAGGCAACGCTACAGAAAAAAAAAGTCTTCTTAAAGGTCACACCAGCAACTTTCACTGCCTATCAGTAAGTTCAACTGCAAGTGCCAGATATTTCATGCTTGACTAGCACCTTCTCTGATAGGAGTAAGAATGACATTTTATAAGAGGATACTTTAATATCGCTGTGTCAGAAGGTCATACTATTTCACCAACTAAACATGCAGCATTTTAACAGCTTCTTGCATTAACAAGGCTGAAAGCAGAACTGAAAGCCAGCTAATTTACAGCAGAAACTTTTTGTCTCTGCATACTCCACACTGAATGATTAGGATTTTCTTAACATGCCTTTTAACAACTAGAATAACAGAGAATCCCATTTTCCTCATGACACAGTGCAAACAGAAGTACTAGCTGTGAAGGGAGGAACAACAGGTTTTCTTTCCTTCTTTCTCTTTCTTCAAACTCTTACTCCTTCCCCTCCCAACTTCTGCATTCCTACTTGGCATCTCCCACTACCTATACAGCTTGTTCTCCAAAGGCTGCATCGTGTAACTGTTCAAGTACTTTGCTACATCAAGACTGAACGTGGCTAGCTGCATCTAGCACTAGCCCTTTGATGAACGACCAATGATTGCCTTGTTGGTCTGAAGTCAGACTTGCTACAACAATCAGTCAGTCAAGAGGAGGGCTACAGTTCCAAATCTACTTACAGGAGAAGGATGTGTAGTAATATGCTACTCTGGCAACATAGATCTTTCCACATTTCACAGCATCCAACGCCACCCACGTACTACAATACACTCGTATTTGACAGATGAGTTTGATAGCGTATCTATCAGTGAACAGAGTAAAAGAGAAGCAAAGTCTGTTTTCAGAGACTCCAAAGCTAAATGAACAATTGCAAAGATATTCTCAGGCTGCAGAACTGGGTCACAAAATAGGGTCAGTAACTTTAAAGCAAAATCTGCAAGCAAACTTTTCTAGTTTTTTGCGGTTCTTGAGGTAACTCTATCAAAGAAGACCATGAAGGGTCGCCGCAGTGGAGAAGGAGCAGGAGGTATGTCTGACCTGTACTTACTGGGCTTCAGAGTTAACAAATGCTATGGAAATGAACTCACTTTTCTAGCTGTATCAGAAAACCCAAGTCAGACTCATCCACTCCAAATTAATTTAGCAGTGGCTAGCAGGGCCCCTACTACAGTTTTTCCTGGTTTGATTTGCTGAAAGCTACTCCAGGTCCTAGCTTTAGTGTCAAAATGAGAAGTAAGGGCAAATTCTCACAGGGAAAGTGCACATTCATGCAATGCTTATGAACACAAGAATCATGTGTTGACTTGCAGCTCTCAGATCTTCTCTTCTTCTGTGACCCAGTTTCTCCCAACTGTTTTTCACTTCTTTATTTAATCCCATTTTTCTCAATAAAGGTTATTTAAACTTGAAGGTGAATTAAAACTGACCAGATTGCTCTCTTCAGAGAGCTGTGTAGCATTACACATCAGAACAACTTCCCATTTTTCATGCTGACTTACATTTTGCTGCAGTTAGACTGTAAAAGAAATCTTAAATATTGGCACTTTAAGGCTTCTGGCCTTCAAAAGCTGTAGTCACAGCAGCAACTGCAGTGTTGACACATGTTAAGACACAGGAAGAATTGACTAGATAAGAAGCAGTTAAAATGGCTTCTAAATTTAATTAATAGATTCTCTTATGTTGTGGAGTCCAACAAAGCCTTTGTGAAACAGGAATGAGGAGCATTCAGTTTGACATGTCACAGCAGCAACAACTGTTTAAGTGTATCTCCAGGGCAGCTAAAGGAAGAAGCATTTCTCCTCACCTTTCATAAATCAAGCTATAAAGTTGGTCAGTCATGATACAAAGCTACCTAGTGAAGTTCTGGCAGTATACAAAAGCTACAGGAAAACAATTAGCTCAAAATTCTCAAAAATTGCATATGTAAATAAATATGTCCCTGCTGTTTGGGGATAGTCACAAGGCATGAGGGATTACTGCCAAAGGATCTTAAGCTTCCATATGTAAAAATCTGATGGTCCATCACAATAAACACAACTTGACATCTGAATCAAGGACTTCAATCTATTTCATAAACTTCATTCACAGCATGTCACAACACCATATCCATTCAATTTTTCAGTTTGGAAAAATGAATAAACCCAAACACAATTTCTCAAGGCCAGCTTTTACACAAATGAAGTCCCTTCTAGTTAGCACCAATTAGCATGTTTGGATATGTGATAGAAATAAAGTTAATTTTGCAAGTTGGGTGGAGTTCACTAAGTTTAAAAAATGTTTGACACTCAGCAGGTGAGAAAGTGGGGACAGGTGTTAAAATGCAAATGAAATCAAAGGATGAAAAAAAATCTTTCATTTCTTCCATTTATTAAGCAGCAGTAAGCTAATATCCTCCCTTGCAAACACCAGACATTAAAGAATTCAAATCCTGAATATTAACAGTATACGGTTCTTAGAGCAAACACACACCACTTGTGATTAAGAAGCATATGTACTGCTCTTCATTCTTCTACATGTTATTACAGAAGACACTGGAAAATACAGTCAGTCTAAAGTAACTGCAATTATCTTCTGAAATCCTGAATGTCTGCAATTAGAATTGACTCTGAAAAGTGTGCCTTCCCCATTGTTTTAGTTGATTTTGGATCATGAATTCTGACTAGTCACACCTGACTATTCATATCACATAAGATATGGATGTATTATTTGGTACCGATATGAAATATTAAGCTTTCATCCATTTAAAGTTAAGAATTGCTGACTCCCAAATAAGTTTATGGAAAGACAAAACTAGAATCTATCATTTGACTATTTCAGAAGAGTCCTATTTTCATAAAATGTTGTCAGTAATGCTACCAAAAGACAGCATTTACATTGCAAACTTTATTGAAATTTGCCAGCTGATATACTGGATAGACTTCTCTGAATTTTCCCTATAAAAATAATTGAAGAAACTTCCCTGTCACCTCCAACAACCCTTGTGTAGGAAAAATTAATTATTAACTTTTGCCATGCAGTATCTGAATAATCTAATACAGTCACTGAACTTTCTTCTTGTTATCATTGTCTACCGATGCCAACTTTCAGAAGAACATTTACATTTCTTCCATGAGAATTTAAGACACAGGTCAGTGTAGACCAATTTCTTTGAAATTAAAACTACAGCAAACAAGATGATTTTAACTAACTAGTCCCAATATTCATGCCCTGAGGCCAATGACAGCTTTTCCATAAATCCAGTCAGAGGGGGCTTGTGATTCTACCAGTGCATCATTTACTGTGCCATGTTAATTGTATTACATCCAGATTTCCAGAGCTGTGCAATCTCTCTGTTAAACAGTTTCTGTTTGATCATATCAGAATGAGTTTAATAGAACTAAGGGGACAAACATGTCAAAGTCAAGAACTAAGTTCCCTGCAAGCTGGAAGGAGCGAAACTCAGATGTAAAGACAGTTTTATTTTTATTAACTTAATCCAAGGGTAATAGTGTCAGATAAACAGAAGGTCAGATACAACAAAAAGCCTGTAGGTCAAAGGGAACCGCTATAATACCAGGAGCTTGGAAGAGGGAAACAGGACAGATAGTTATAAACAAGAACTTACACACTACCTTGGAACATTTTCAAGTATGCCTATAATGCAACTTTATTAGGTCTAAGTGCAAAGTGAAGTAATCAGCTTTAAGAGATTTCATTAGCAGCTGAATCTGAATAGATCTGATGATGTTGCAAATATTTCAGTATATTTTTTATTGCTTTTGGAAAAAAATCAAATCAGACTACAAATCCCGTTTTTTACTTTCTGCACCATCTATAATAAAAAAGGTGTAATTACTAATGGTGCATTTCTAGTCAAAAATCTAAGAAACCACAATATTCAGGAAATCACAGTTTCATCTGAAATTCACTGAAGCCAAGACTTCAGTGGGCTTCATACAGGTCTTTAGCTTCCTTTGGACAGCAAACATATGAAAAAAGCACAACTCTAGTGTCCTTGGTGATGACCAAAGTACATACAAGAAGTAAACTCCACAGCTAGGTACCTTTTAAACCAGTAGATCTCATCCGGATCTGTAATTCCATATTCTCTTAACTTCATCACCATCAGAGAGCTCTTCCTGATGGCTTGCTCATAGCGTTGGCTACGGGACAGGAAGTTCAAATCCTCATGCTGGAAGTCAGGGTCATTAATAACTAAGGCCTCTAGGGACAGAACAGAAGAGGAAAACAAACTCAGTTTCCACAAACCTCAACAGACAGCGGGTGAGAAACAATTCAGCATCTCACTTGCTGTGCCTTAAGGTACAGATATCAGAAAATTAAAATTAAAAGTTAATGAAATCTGAATGAAGTCAAAGCTCTTGGAGGGAAGGACTCTAGCAACAGGGCACTCTCCCATTCCACACACAAACCACACTAAGTTCAGAGCACTCTGGATTTGGCAGGAGGTTAATTTACTGACGCAAGACCTGCAGCCCCCCCAACAACAACCTCAAATAGCCATCGTTACTGCCATCAGACTGCCTCACGAACTTTGATCCCCATACAACTCCTTGCAGAAGGGCACAGCTATTATTGCCACTATGCCAAGCAGAAACCAAGGCACCCAGAGGCCACCAACTTTGTGTCCTCTCTGACACACAAGTTACACACCACCAGCCTCTGACAGTCCCACCCTAGCGCAGGCTGGGAAAAGAAAGAGGATGGAGGTTTTTCATTAATCTCACATATCATGGTAGTGGTGGGTGAGAAAGAGGTCATATTTGTACTGTTGGGCAAGAGCATACTAGGAAGGAAAAAGGAGGGGAGCGGGCCCAAGAAAAATGCCCACAGGAAGCTGCCTCTTACTCTCTGGAGGAAGGGGAAAGAGAGGTAAAAGGTTGTTGTTCTATCAGGACCACCCCAAATCCTTTCTGGGAAGGGGAGAAGAAGGGATCAGGGACATAACACTGCTCCTGCTCCCCTCTAACCCACTAAGCAAAAACCCCTTCCTGCAGGGAGCCCCCCCACCTGCAAGCCCTCTCCTTACAGCTTTCCCCTCTCCCCAAAAGCTCTTCCTCTCTCCCCAAAAGCTCTTCCTTCCCCACGCCCGCCCTCCTCTACACCCTCCCGGCTCTCCCTCTCCCCACAACCTCCTCCCCCCGCCCCGTTACCCCGATCTCCCTCTCCCTGAAGGCCCCCTCTCGGGTCTCCCCTTCTCCCCACACCCCCCGCTTTCCCTCTCTTAAAACCTCCTCCTCCTTTGCAGCCCCCCCCCACTCTCCCCTCAGCTCGGGGTGACCGGGCCGGGGGAGGCGGCGGGACGCCCGGGGCCTCCCTCACCGATCTCCTTGCGGCGGCGGGTGCGCTCGGCTCCGCCGTCCAGGATGTGGGTGAGCAGCTCGGGCTGGAAGGTGGCGGCGGCCCGCTCCCTCCGCAGGTCCGCGTTCATCATCGTCGGCTCCGCTCAACCCCGACCCCGCCACCGCCCGTACCGGCCTCGGCTCTACCGATCCACGCCCTCCCCCCCCCGCAACGTCACGCTCCCCGTGACGTCACGCCGCCGAGACGTCGCGCCCGGCCACGTGACCGCCACCTCCCGCGGGAAGAGGCGGCGGAGCGGTGAGCGACGGGCCGGGCTGCAGCTGGGGCCCGGGCCTGACTTAAAGCGTGCTTGCAACGGGCTGCAGCTGGGGAGGGCGCGCATGGCGTCGTGCTTTACATTGGGCGTGCAACGGTGCGCTAAATAGACATATCATGTGCTGCAGCTGGGCATGCATTAAGTAGCGCATGGGGTGTGCATATAACGGGCTGCCTTTGGGGTTAGGCATGCATTGAATAGCGCGTTGAGAGTGCGCATAACATGCTGCAGCTAGGCATTTGATAGTTAATTAAAGAAACAGTTCGTTAAATGCCCATATAGCATGCTGTGTTTGGTCAGGCATTAGGTAGTGCACTAAATCTGCATATAAATCTGCGCTTAGGGCCAAGCGTGCATTAAATGTGTACGTAACATGCTGTAGTTGAGGTTGCACGTGCGTTAAATAGTGCACTGAATGGACACGTAGCATATTGCAGCTGGGGTTGGGCATGTGTTAAAAAGTGCATTAAATGCACATTGAGCGTCTCGCATTCCTGGCTGATTCTGTCCCGCTGCACAGTGTGATTCAGGATGACCCTTGCCCTACTCAGGAGGTCCACAATTGAACCTGCTCTTTAAATCTGGGTTAGGTGAGGCAGAGATGCAGGGGGTTGCAGAGCGCCCATTCTGTCGCTGCTGGTTGGGACCCTGCCAGAGGGGTTTCGCAGCCTGCCATGCGTGTGCACAGCCTTGCATGGGGCCACAGGGCAGCCAGACCTGGAGTTCAGGCATGTGCAGAGACTAGGTCAGCCAGGATTGCGCTGGTTTCAGTGGCTTCCCACAGCAGTCCTCTATGGGATGGTGGTGGGGCATTTTGCAAGGTTGCAACCCCCTGAGCAATGTGTGGGGTGGGCAAGCCCACACACGTTAAAGCCACAGGGTTGCAGCTCAGCATGTCTCTACGGCTGCATAATCAATACTGGGGGTCCTTGAACCCACTGGAGTGGCCCCACCTGTCTGAATTGCAGGAGTCTCTGCCTGGGCCACTGTGCAGCTCTTGGGGGTGGAAGAAACCCCAGTGGTGCAAGAAACCAGAGAGAAAAGCAGTAAATGGAGCATGGAAATGCACCAAACACAGGCACCCTGCAAGGGAGATCGGAGAGAAAATCATGCCAAAAGAAACCACTCTGGGGCACAGCTAGCGGCTTGGCTACAGCACTGGCTGGGCAGAATTAAAATCTTGCTGAAGCTGCTCTGCATTCCTGCTCTTCTGTGTGCTTTGCGCTGTGGCTGGCCTGCCTGTGCCAGCCCTGCTCCTGCTCCACCACTGGAGCTCCCAGCAGGTCCCACCTGAGTCTTCTTTTGGGGTGAATCATTCTCACTCATGGCTGTCTTCTGAACCCTACTAGGCTACTGAGGAAACCAGGCTGGCTTGTGTCCAAGTAATTTCTCCAGCTGCAGGATCAAACACTGCCAGAATTTCTTATCCTGCAGCATGAGAACAGACTCAGGATCATACTGTGAATCTTGCTGCATGGTACCCCATCACCTCAGCAGCTGGATCTATTCCTGCATCTCAGTCCGTCACACTCTCTGAACTTCTCAGTCACCATTTTTCCCACTTCCTCAACCTTTCTCAACCCATCCATATCCTGGGGGAGACCTGGAGGATCTGGTGGGCTGCCTGTTGCTGTTTGCGCTGGATTGTGGTGAGGGAAGGTAGCCCCTCTTTATGCCAGGATGCCCAGAGCTTGGCATAGGCACTGAGCTGCAAACAGGACTCAGCAGGGAAGCTATGAAGCTCCTGCAGCCCCCTTAATGGGGGACTCTGGGCAAGGAAGGAGTTTTGGGGCAGTGTCACCTAGTATCTGGATCAGGTACTGGGGTGGCATGAACTTAGATCTTTTGCTTTACTGCAGGCCCAACGGCACTGGTGTGAGATGCTGCCAGGTGCTGGTGTCTATTACTTCCCATGGGAGATCAACAGCTCAGTGCCAGAGGGGGAGGCACTGAGGACATTTGGCAGGTGAGAAGGGTACCCCGCTCTCCTTGGAAGCCAAGCCTTTCCTTAACTGGCTGACCCCCCTCCCTGTGTTTGTAACTGTTGTACCTCTGCACCGCTGAGCTTCCCAAATCAATTGTTCCCAGGTTATGCTGCTACGACCTGGCCCGGTCCGAAGCCGTTCTCACTGCTCAGCACCACTCAACTCACTACCAGGTCTGTGTCAACACCGAGTTTGTGGAGCCATTGCAAGCCCAGCTGGGATCTCTCTACATGCTCCTGGGAGAAGTTGAACACAGGGAAGGTAAATGCTCCCGGAACCTGCAGCCCTTTGCTGCTGTTCGTGGTTCATCAGCTCCTTCGTGGCTCCCTGAGTGCATGGTGAGACACACTGCCAGAGGTTAGCATTGGCCAAGGGAGGCTCATCTCACACGGCTGCCTCTGGTGATTCAGGGCAGGAGCAGCCTGTCTCTCCCCATTGACCATGAGAAGAGCCACCCTTATCTTGGTGAAAACTGGGGCTCTAGCACAGATTTTGTTAGAAACAGGAAGCGCCTCAGCAACATCACTGAGCTTGTGAAACCTGTGCTAAGGCCTTCTGGCACCATTGCCAGCCACCACATCGTCTTTGCTCCAAACGTGGCTGATTGCAACAATACCTCATTGCGAGCTGGCTGGGTTGGTCTTTGCCATCCTTGAAAGTCTCTAATTATATCCCTGCCCTCAGACATGGGGCGTGAGGAATGCAAGCAGGCTCTGTCATGCAGGGCACCCTGTTGTCCTTTCCTGGGGTGCGCTGAGCGTTACTCCAGCTGCACAGTGTTTTGCATGGGGAGCCATGATCTGGGCTGGGCTGTGGGGTTGGGAAGCAAATCCCAAGTGTTGTCTTGGCCACACCTGTTAACAAGCATTTGCATTCATGCCATTGAAATCCTCAGTGGCATGTGGAAAGCCACATTGCACATGGCATCTTGTGAGTGACCTGCTAAGCCTCTGCTGCAAAATTCCTTTAGAAAGACATGCTATTTCAGTCAACACAGCTTGGGAGTGAGTTGGCCCCATTTTGCAGGGGTGGAAGGGGAGGAGGCTGAGATGGTGGCTGTGTCACCAAGGTTTGGCCCCTTTTGTGCAGCTCTGTGTTACCATTTGAGTGCCGCCGATGAACTGTTGGTTTTAGTCAGCATTGAGCCTCTTCTAAGCCTAGCTTTGTTCTGTCCTCTTCTTGTCTGCACAGAGGCATTCAGAAATGAGCTTAAGCCCATCCCTGATGCTTTTTAGACAGGGAAAACCAAACTTAATCCAGCCACAAAGTGCACAGATGCTGCATGGCAGGCACTGGCACCACCATGTCCTGGGCTCGGTGTTCCCCAGTGCAAGGAGAGTGCAGTGTCAGTCACCAGCATTTTGTAGCCAACAGGGCAGAGGGAAAGCATGTCCCTGAATTAACCTGCTCCTGGGCCCGCTGCTCACATCGATGAAAGCATGCAGCCGGTCTGGTCTCCTGCAAGTTCTCAGGCTATGGTTATCTGGGCAGCTGGAGCCATATGCTGCCTGAGGGAACCTCACTGCCTCCAAGCTGCTCCGTCTGTTTTTCTTTTTACAGAAACTTCCTGTTCATATTCCCAGGTGAGGGTCCCGTAGTAAAGGCACGAATATTGACCTGCGTGGAAGGGATGAATGTGCCCTTGCTGGAACGAGCCATACAGGAGCAGAGGAAATACTTCAACGAGAGGCAGGAGCAGATGGGAAAGAGCACATCCTGACAGCAGCTTTGACACCAGCCATATGCTGGTCCTTGCACTACCATTTGCAACAAATACATTAAAAGTAAATTTAGAAGGTGCATTTTCAACATACTGCTTTTTGCCATGGCACATAGCAAAGTAAAGTCACTAAGCCGGGAAACACTTGAAGACCGTGAGTCAGTATGTGACTGTGGGTTGTCCATTCATACCAGGTGTCATCACTGAAAATAAGTCTGGGAAGCAGGTTTGTTGTTTGTTTAAAAGGGTGGTTAAGGAAAGGGAGTGCTTGAGTTATACTGGTCCTTTTGTAATGCAAGGCTTGGAGATGTCAGAAAAAGGAGAAGCCTCCGAATCTTGAGTTAAACAGTTCACACCCAGACCCACTACTAAAGCGCAGCGGATTAGCAGGCTGTTGGCAGATCAGAGGTAAAGGGCATTAGCGCAGGGTTCATTAGCCCTGTGTGGCTGTGGGTCCATGAGTCCATGCATTTGGTTACCATGACTCAGCTGCCACATGGGATCGTTCCTGGCAAAACACTCACATACCTGGACTGACCAACAAAGAAACAAGAAGAACAAAGAGTCACTATTTTCAGTAGTACCTGCCTCTTTGGGTTTTCAGGAGCTGGTGTCCAAGAGGGGGGATTGACTTTAGCTCTAAAATAAGTATTTGCAGTGCCCTGAGAATCACCACTTGACTTTCTTCCTTGACACAACTTAAGTTTAGGAGACCTTAAATCACTATTTTTTTGAAGCATGTAAAGGTTTTGATTGATATTTCCCTAAATAAGGATGAAAACAGAAGACAGCCTCGCTTTTTATTGATTAAAAACCTCTTTCTTGCTAAGGCAAATGTATTAGGCCCTGCAGAGACCCTATGGATGATGTAAGAAAATGTAGCAATGTGCAATTTTCTTCCTTCTCCTACGTACTGGGTGTGTAACAAAGTGCTTGGCTTTGAAAAAGTTGCAAGAACAGGAGATGAAGTTACATCAGAGCCACTGGTTTAAGAACGTGGTGCCAGGCCCACCTAGCAGAATTAAACCGTCAACAAAAAGACAGAAGATCACTAACGTGAGATGAGAGTAAAATGTTACTGCAAGAGAGAGGAGTCTTCTGTGCTACAGGAATCCCCAGACCTGGAGTGAGCTGGGACTGTGGTTTGCAGGGGAATTCAGCCACCTGCAGCCTTTTCGGCTTTTTGCTCAGATACTCTGGTGAAATGTTCAGAAAATGAGGACTGAAGCCATACAACGCACAGCAGCAGATCAAAATGCAACAGGTATTGGCAAAGTCACCTGCTACCAGCAGGCTTGATTCAAGGGCCTGAGATGGCTCAGTAATTACAGTGCTTGCTACAAGCTTTAATCATAATTGAGCCTTATGTTTTTCTCCATGCAGTTATGGAGATCCAAAAGCCCTGACTCAGTAAACTCTCTGTTCAGCCCAAGTCTAAAGACATGATCTCAAGATTCTAACCTGTTTTTGTAAGAGACAACTATGACTCCGTCATATGTGTTTATGTTTATACCTCATGTCCTGTCTGTTCTATCTTCCTCCCTGTGCTTAAATTTTATCCAAATGGCCATGTTTGCCAGAGAGTTGGGAATATCCAAGATACCAGGACTGGGAATATCCAAAATACCAGGTTCCTACAAGTGTTATGAAAAAAAACCCCACAAACTTAACCAGCCAGGAAGAGGAGAGCAAATTTAGCAATGACCCCAGATGGAAATGTGAGTGGAAACTCAACCTTCGCAAGCCACCGGAGAACCCACACAAGAGTTTGCTGTGGCCATGTGGATCCCCCTTCAGCCACAGAGCAACCATGCTTTGTTTTTTTCAAAAACTGCCAAAATCAGGATCAATTGAAAAAAGATTTTGAGCTGGTGCCTCAGCAATGGGTTATATCAGTCCTTTTTAGATCACCTAAAAGTTGGGGTCTGCACTGTGGACCCACGCAGCCAGTCAGCTGCCATGTCCTGCTGTGCCCACCCAGAGACATGGAGCCCCCAAGCCCTCCAGAAGACAGTTCCTGTGGCCATGATGGCCTTTCCTGGTGCCACGATGCATACTCTTTTTTTAATCTTGTCAGCTGTCAAGTCAATGATTAATCTCACCCGCCAAGGACATCTTCCAAAAGGCTGACCAAGCAGCACAGCTCACGGTGGGGAGGTTCAAGGGACAATTGCACAAGACAAAAAACTAAACCAAAAAAACCCCAAACAACCAGCCAACCCACACACACACCACTCCACCCCCCCCCCCAAAAAAAAAAAATTCTGGTGTGTCTTTGACCTGAGCGTGTCCCAAGGAACCCTAATTACACACTGCATCCCCTTGATGCCAGGCACTGCACAGTGGCCCTGTGCAGTCCCCACTGCCTTTCCCGCAGGCCCAAAGCATCTCTTCACATCCATTTTGCTCTATTTTTGTTTCAGCCAGCGCACCACACAACCTGGGTCACAAGCAACCAGTCCTGAGCAGATGGTGCACAGCGTGTTTGGTAATTAGGGTCTGTCCAAAGACCCCCCAGACACTCCCCACACCCCCAGACACCCACCAGTGTGCCCAGGCAGCCCTGTCTGCCTGCTCCAGTTCAAGGCAGGTCCCTATGCTGGGGGAGCAGCAAGGGGGGACCCAGACCCTGAAAGCAGCTCAGGGGACACACAGGGAGAGCAAAGACCTGCACGTTTTGGGGGGTGGGGTCCCTTCTTTTTTTTTTTTTTTACCTCAGAAAGCAGCGCCAGCCGCCCCTGCTGCCATCGCAAGGCTGAGGCAGCACCATGGATGCCTTCCAGGAGGTGTTTCAGAAGGTGGAGAAGATCGGGGAGGGCACCTATGGCGTTGTGTACAAGGCTCGCAACAAGCGCACGGGGCAGCTGGTGGCCCTCAAGAAGATCCGCTTGGACTCGTGAGTGGGGCAGAGCCCTGGTCCTGGGGCTGCCATGGCCCGGCCCAGCCCAGCACCCAGCCGGCCCACCATGGTGCCAGGCCGGCTGCCTCCTCAGCGTGGTGGCAATAGGGTGCCAAGGCGAGAGGGGGTTGAGGAAGGTGAATGGCTCCTCTGGGGCCGGCAGTGCCATCTGTGGGGAGATGGCCGCCAGCTGAGCCCAGCAGTGCCCCAGCCCGGCTATGGGAGTGAGCAGGAGGGCCCTGAGCCCAGCCCAGTGTCCAAAACGGTGTGAGAGGCTCAAAAAAGCCTGACATGAGGGAAAACAATGTCTCTATCGGCTCATGCAAGCAGCTAGGGCCTGACCCAGTGCCACCTGGCCCTGGCTCTATGGTGCAGGGCAGGGGCAAGTAGCCACCATTTTGGGAGGTGGCCTCTCCCTCAGGGCTCAGCCTCCCAGCAGGGTGAGCTTCAACCCCTCCGGGGGGTGGGGGGGACTGAGAAGATAAAAGCTTATTATTCTTCCCCTGGGTCGGCCCTGGGCTGTCTCCATGGTGAGGGGTGTCAGTGTGGACCAGGGGCCATGGTGGCCCCTTAGGACAGTGGAGGTGGCTGCCTGAGGGGCAAAGAGCTTTCATCTTCCCCCCACCTCTGAAAAGCGAGGCTTTGACATTTAAACCATTGTTGCTTCTCCAGATGTGCCTTCAGGTGCTCCCAAACGAGCTCTGCCCCAGATCTTGCACTGCCTAGGTCACCCCCTCCCTCTCCTTCCCCACAGCTCCATTTCCCCCTGCCTAGCCCCAGCCCACCCCACACACGGCTCCATCCCAAACTTGGGGTGCTCAGTATTAGAGACCTTCCCCTGGGCAGGCGATGGGGTACAATGGAAGGGAGAAGGGACACAGGACCCTGATGGGCTGTGGGATCCCACTGGGGGACAGGGTGCCATACAGCCCATCTCTGCCACAGGGAGATGGAGGGCGTCCCCAGCACTGCGATCCGAGAAATCTCACTGCTGAAGGAGTTGAAGCACCCCAACATAGTCAGGTAAGACATGGATTAACCCTCCCCACCAGCTCATTGATGAGCTCCTGCTCAGGGAGCAAGAGGGATTTTCCTGTCCTTCCCTGACTGCACAGACAGGAGCAAAATAAACAGGAAAATACAGGAATCACTTGCACTTCCCTGGTTCTCGGCAATAGCTCACAGCACTGCCACTTCACTCAAGCAACACAAGCTGGTCCAAGCCACTGCTGCTCCATGCTAGATGCTGCTTTTATATCTGCCTCTCTGCTCCAAGGGGCTCACAGAACAGAGGCATCTGTGGGAGGAGGGATGTTTGGGTATTTGGAAAAGGTGCTGAAAGGTACTGAAGGGAGCACTTGCACTTCTTTTGCAGGCTTCTGGATGTCATACACAGCCAGAAGAAGCTCTATCTGGTGTTTGAGTATCTGAATCAAGACCTGAAGAAATACATGGACTCATCCAGAACTGGAGAGCTTCCTTTAAGCTTGGTCAAGGTACAGCGTGAAAGGAGTGCTAACAGGCAAAGCAGAGAGCATGTGTCCTTGCTGCCTTCTGCTGGGCAGAGCCAGCACTGAGCAGCTCTTACCCAGACTGCATCTGGAAGAGATTCATCCTTGGCTAGAGGCATTCAACCTCTCAGATCTCAAACATTTCAGCTGGGAAAACCTCGTGGCACTATTGCTCAGTGCATTTATTTCTCAGCTGTTTCCAGGCTCTCCAGCCCATCTTGCTGCAGAACAAACTGCTGTTAAGAGGACAACTGAGGGATCTATTGCTAATTGCCTTTGTACAGAGGAATAGATAGGTGGAAGGGACTGCCACTGCTTGGTTTGGAGTCTCTCTGTCCCCATGTAGGGTGGGAACAGTTTGTGTGCATCTCTGAGTAGTAGCCGGCAAGCCTGGTGTTGCATTATAGCAAGGTCTTTTTTTCCCATTCAGGTCTAAAAATTATTAAAAGTGTATTGGTTCACACAATCCAGCCTTCAAAGTGGTTTCATCGTGGCCTTGTCTGAAATCTCCTCTCTCCTTAGAACTACCTTTTCCAGCTGCTGCAGGGTGTGAGCTTCTGCCACTCGCACAGAGTCATCCACAGGGACTTGAAGCCACAGAACTTGCTCATTAACGAAGCAGGAGCAATCAAGCTGGCTGATTTTGGACTGGCAAGAGCTTTCGGAGTCCCCCTGCGCACATACACTCATGAGGTATTGTTGAGGCTCCCTGCCACCTGACAGTGGGGTACACAATCCATAGTGGGTGAACAGCAGCATCACAAGTAAGTTACACAGCCATAACAGAGGCACAGCTGTGCCCAGGCATGTGCTCTTAACATAACCTGCAGCTTAGGGGTTACCTCATGTCCCCACAAAATGTGCTGACTGCTTCTACCCTAGCCTGTCTGCAAGCTGTGTTCCCACCGTCTCTGCATAGGGTATATTTATTTGTTCCAGAGTGTCCTGTTGAAGAATGATCTGTTAATCCCAGCCTTGCTGTCACTAAGGTGTCTGTTAATTCAGCATGGTCTTGGCACACTCTGATTTGTGCAGTTACTGCATTACAGCGGAGAAGACAGGATCCCATGCCTGTAGTTTCACCCAGGGAAACTAGACAAAGCTTGTTTGTTTGTTCCTTACCAGGTGGTGACTCTGTGGTACCGAGCCCCTGAAATACTGCTGGGATGCAAATACTACTCGACTGCTGTGGATATCTGGAGCATCGGCTGCATCTTTGCAGAAATGGTAGAATGGGTTTAAATAGCCTCTTTAACGAGCAGGGGAATGCAGCTGCAATGAGAAGTGGGGAAGGAGGAACAAGACACAGAACATCTGTGATACTGTGATCCTACTCTGTGCTGCAGTGTGTTTTATGGGAAGTCCAGCCTGAGGGTTAGCTGACCCTTAGCTGCGGGCTTACAAGGAAATTGCCACCAGCAGTGGCCTGACAGGAGGCAAAGAAGCCTCTGTAGTCCAGCTGCAGTTCCAGGTACATGGGAATGTGATGCCTCTCCTTGCAGAAGGGGTAACTTCAGTCTTGTTGCTGCAGCATTTTGATCCTGGGAGGAGATGACTCTCTTGCAGATGTCCCCACTGTGGGCTGCAGAGAACTAGCACTCTCAGAGCATGGCAGAGCAGATCCCCTAGGGGGTCCATACTCCACTCTGAAGCGCTCTTGTTATCCCTGCAGTGTAATAGCACTATCGATAGCTCCCAAAGCCCCTGAGCTGCAGAGCAGCAGAGCCTGAGTGAGTAGGTGGGGAGGGAGCTAGTCTGCCAGAGTAGGTGTTAGGAAACTGGAGACAAAGAGGGATAAGGGACTGGCTGAAAGAGGGACAGCCTCAGAGGAGCATGGACCCATGGAGATGAGCTGGAGACAAGCAGTCGGACAACCGTGACTTTCCCAACCACTGCCTGGCAGAATCGCTGCATTATAACTGCCCTGGTCTGTGCAGTTGTTTACATCTGCTGGGTCAAAGGGTTGCTTGCAGTAGGAAATAGAGCACACAGCTGATGGAAAGGTGGGAACTGGCTTTTTTTTTTTTTCCCCCCCCAGGTGACCAGAAAGGCCCTGTTTCCAGGGGACTCTGAGATTGATCAGCTCTTCCGGATCTTTCGCACCCTGGGCACTCCCACTGAGGCGACCTGGCCTGGGGTGACCCAGATGCCTGACTACAAGGGGGACTTTCCCCGGTGGGCAAGGAAGGAGATGAAGGAAATTGTTCCCAACTTAGATCAAGATGGTAGAGACTTATTGGTGGTGAGTGAGGGCTCAGAACAATACCCAGGGACAGACAGGACCTTTTCAAAGTGGGCAAAGAACAGGAATATTTGGGAGTGATCTACCTGGAAGTGTAGCTGATCTGGCTCTAATGTTCATCTCTGCCACTGCAGAAACACCGCATCATCGAATAGGGCTCAGTCCTGGCTCTCAAGCAGGACTGTCATTGCAGGTACCTCTAGGAAACCACCACACTCAGGGCCAAGAAACCCTTCTAGCATAATCCCCCCAGTAACTTCAGCTGTGGGTTACTCCTGAAGCCCAGAGAGGGGAAAAGGCAGGACCAACATCTGTATCTGGGCCCAGCCACATGCAGGGGCAATCAGTCATCTGTGTTTTAAAATCCTAAATCTGCTAGGTTTTTCTCTTGGCAGCAATTGCTCCTGTATGATCCCAGCAGGCGCATCTCAGCCAAGGCAGCCCTCAATCACAAGTACTTCTTCTGGAGAAGCCCTCGGAACCCTGAAGAGCAGCATGTGCTGCAGAGACACTGCAGATGAGAAGACACAGCTCTCCCCATGCACTTGCACCTCTGGGTGGCACTGCAGATCTAGTTTTGGGGACTTAGCAAGGGGCTGGCTGGGACCCAGGGTCTCACTTCTCCTGAGGAGTCTGGAGGGGGACATTCTTGCATTTAGACACTCTCAGCCTGTTGCTGGGGGAAAGTTTGTCTAGGTTACAGCCAGTAGAGCTGTTTTGAAGAGGTCATGTGCAAAAGGGTGGGGTGTATTTATCAGCATAAAACGCTGAAATGTAGATAAGACCAAGCATTAATCAGCGAGCTAAAGTGACACACAGTGATTGTCTCTCCAGCACTGGAGCACCCCCAGTTCCGTCGATGGCAGTTTCTGACACCAGGGTGTGCTGGAGCTCCACTTTGGGTAGGGGAGTGCTTCTCTGCTCAGCCCTTTGCTGCTGTTATCAAAGATTGGGCTTGTCAGCCCTAGACAATTTGTTTAATCTGAGCTATTTAACAGAGCTGACATTCTGCTGTTTCACAAGCTGAAGAGCACTATCAGGTGTCTTAATTTGTGCCTTAGGTGGGATCAAGAAGCCAAAAGATCCAGTCAGCATAAAGCACTTGTTGCATGTGGCTGGAAAAAGTAACAGCTAGAATACTGGCTTTCCATCATCAGTCCAGATGTACTGCTATTTCCTTTGCTTTATTGTCTTGGAAATGTTTTTGCTGTTCAAACGTTTGGAGAATTCTCACTAACTTTTGGTGTGGTTTTGACATCTTCATTTTTTTTCTTTCAGTGCAGAAAAAAATAAAGGCTTGTCATTTGTTCAGAAACCTCAGTGTTTATTGTTTGGTGTGGCCCATCAGGCTAGTGATGCAGGACAGTCTGGCAGGTCCTTTTTTCCACAGAGCTCTTTTCCCTTCATCGTCTCCTGCACTCTTTCTTTTATCTTTTCCAGCTCAAATACTTGGCAGGTGCAGAAATATACTCTCAGTTCTGTTGTGGAACAAGGGGCTGATGGTTCTGCAGCCCAGTGCTGCCTCAGTATGGCAAGTTGGGCTTTCTTTCCATCAAAGGTTGCCACAAACCAGTTCAGAGTTATGTTCTGCTTATTTAAATACTCAAAAGAGATATTTTTAACTTAGGGAAGCCAAACTTCTGCACCTCTGTTTTTCACACACATGCAGACACGTGCTCTCCTAATAACAGTGATCCGAAGAAGTGATCTCAGCATAATCTGACAGCTCTCCAAAGCTATCAAATTCCTGGAGTTTCATGACAGATAAACAATGCAGTAGTGAGGTGGCTGCACATCTCGGCTGTAGCACAAACCTCCCTCCTCACCTACTAGATACCAGAGAATTTGCACAGGGGAGAGAAACCTTTAGGTGCCTCCTGAAAAAGCCCCTCTCAACACAAGACCTGCCTGCCTAAAGCCAAGCTGTTGTCCTCTGGCTTCCTCCATCATTCATTCCTTCTTCCCACCCAAAAAAAGGCAGCAGGTGACTCTGCTTAATTCCTGACATCAGAAAGACCTTCGTCATCCTTACTGTAGCAGCCGTACCTCCTGACAGACCACCGACAGCAAAACCCTGGGACCTGTTTCTCACCTCCCTCTGGGCCCTGCCACACCGCCTGGCTGTACTTCCCCTGCAGGTGTAGAAGCCCCAGCCAGGACCTGGGGAGCTCGCTCACCTCTGCAATTTGCACAGATTAGGTTTTTTTTTAAGGCAGGTGGGAGCTGCTTTGCTTTTGAAGCTGTTGTTCAGAGTCATGCTGGAGTGGCTGCTTGCAAAAAGCTGACCTGCTCGTGTTCGGGAAGGATGGTTTTCTGACTGAGCAGGCAGCTGGGCTCATACAGCAGCCTTGAGAGCCCTGTGGCAGGAAAATTGAAGTCCTGCTGTACTCCTGCAGCATGTCATGGCCTCCATATGATAACACCCAGCTCACAGGGGCACGTTTGTGAGACATGGATGAATTCTGCTATGGAATCATTTCCCTGCCTTTGCATACATGTTTTAAAGTCAATTCGTTTAGTACAGACAATCCGTTGTTTGCTCTACTCAAACAAATGCTTGTGTTGTACCAGACAAGCTGTTTGCAGAAGAGGTGTTTGTTTTTTTTTTTTTAAAAGATCTGCATTAAAGAAGTAAATACTGAGGACATTCATCCAGACCAGAAACATAAATAAAAATACTACAGCTCATCTAGCCCAACAAAATGAAGCAATAGGCTGAATTTCAAACATTTATGACCCAACCCCACTGCCAGCAAAGGGAACCAACAACAGCTGTGTCAGAATAACTGCTCTGGGAAAGCCACAATGCAATACCATCACCCTGTGCCGGAGAAGGGAGGAAAAGCACTACCTGACCCCTCCTGAGCAACTCACAACCCTGCCAGACAGTTGGGCTCTGGGGAAGCCCCAAGGCTGTGTGGTGCTTCCTATGGACACGTTAGGAGGACATGATACGAGCTGCTTTCTGCACATGAGGACCACTTCATAGTAAAGAAAAGTATTTTTAGTGGTTTTTTTTCAGAAACAAAAGGCAGGCCAGCCTTCAAGGGAGACTGCTCAGCCCAGCTAGACTGCTCATCTGCCTAATTTCTTAATGCCTTCACCCAGCCTGAGGTAAATACTTCCCACCACGCAGTTAGGGAGCATTTTATCAAAAATTATTAACTGACTGCCTAACTAGCAGAACTCCAAGTCCCTTAGTTACAGAGCATTCCCCCAAATTATTTAATCAACGCTTCAGGGATGAGTCGCCACATGAATATCGTACTGCTTTACAAACAAGCATGGTTTTATCTCATTTGCAAAGGGGAGCAGCCGGGAGGAGGGTAGCCCTAGAGCCCAGCATCCTGCCCCACGGAGCTGGGCAAGGGGGTAGGCTGACAGCAAACTCACCTGTTGGGCAGAGCTGAGCTGCAGAAAAGGCAACAGCCCCATTGCTGACGGATCCTCCCTGCTTTCAGCCAGCCAAGGGGAGCAAAGGCAAAGCACAGCAAGGCTGCTCCCAGCAGCTTTGAAGAGCTGGGATCCAAGGGCTGCTGGGAACCTCACTGGTCCAAGGCTCCTTGGTTGCACTGGGACGTGTTCCTCACCTGGCTGTGTTCCTGTGCTCCGAGGGCTGTTGGGCTTTCCCTGGCAGGAGGCCAGGTCAGAGTTTCTCTCCTGATGTGTCCCCTGGTCCATCACAGCCCGGCTCCAGCCCTTGCTGCTGGTCCAGACCAGCCAGGAGGGAGATGCAGTGCCCCGTGTGCTGGCAGTGCTTTACCAAGAGGAAACAGGCTGGGAACGGATGCTGTAGGGTGTGTGCAACAGTTTTCCCCCTTTGTAAACCAACAGATTGCGCCATATTGATCATGGCAGCTGAGATGGCCACGGACACCAGCCATATGCCTCACAATAGACACAGACCCTGCGGAGCATGGGACAGAGCCTGGGCAGATCTTGGACTGGAAACTTGGCATTTCCATAGCTGGACTCCGATTGTTAATGCTGAGCACTACCTACTAGCAGGAAGGTAACAGGACCTGTGATTGCGCTGAGCTTGCCAGCATGGGAACAATTTCTTCTTGGAGCCCAGACTTCAAATCCAAGCTAGGTTATATGAAAATAGAGGCTACGCTGCTGCTCTGATGGGGGAAGGAGGGGGAGAAAACTTCTACCCTGATGGATTATTTTGGGTGTGTTGGAGTTCCCAAACAGCATCAGCTAAAAGAGCCCTCGGCAGAGGGGGAAAGAGCAGCTCATGTCAATAGAAAGTAATTTTTCTCACCCCACAAAGCCAAGGGATGCTCCACAGTGGGGTAGATACTAGGGAAGAACACTTGGGAGACTTACTCATTTCAGCAAGGGCTGAGCAGTGGAAGTTACATAGAGGAGTGAAAACTCACCTAAAGAAATAGCAAGTGCAGATTTTCCAGTACTGCTGGGTGGATCCTGCAGCCAAGGCCAAGGGCTGTAGAAAGCAGTCTCACGTCACCATTGACTGCAAGCATCATTAGTCTGCTACTGAAGGTCATCCCTTCCCTTGCAACACATCCGCCTCTGTACAGGTACAGGACAAGCCCCCAAGATCATCTACTTCAACAGGGCTTAGTTTTGGTTGGGGCTTGGCTTCCTCTGCCAGCAGCTCAGTGAAGTGACCCAAGTTACTGTGCAGCCAACACCATTACTGGTCTGCAGCCAGAGAGACACCAGGGACAGGCAGCTGCAGGGGGCAGGGGGGCTGCTCCACTTGGTAGCTGCCTGCACTTAGACTGGATCAAACGTAACACGGAGCTGCACCCTTTGGCAACCAAGTCCCTCTTTCAGAGATGTCCAAATGACCAGGGAGCAAAGTCCCCTTGGCTTTCAGTTTTAAAGACAAACACAACAAAAACCTTTAAAAAGATGGACTCACATGCAGAAAGAAATGTAGGGGGTTCAGTGCTGTGAGATCAGGGGGAGCAAGAGTCTGCAAACCCTTTGTAGATTGGGCTGCAGGGCATAGGACTGCATGAGGGGAGGACTAGCCATGCCTTCAGCCACTTCACAGCCTCAGCCTGTAGAGACAACACAGCCACAGAGTCGCACTTTTTATGTTTATTGCATGCAGAAGAATGACCCAACTGAAAAACACTCTGTCTCTCCCCCCCTTTCTGGGCATAACCACATCTAACCTACTGCCAGTGGAATTCTTGCAATCGACCCCCCTTTGCTGTCACAGCAGCACCCGGGGGACCACAGGGACCCCTGTGTGTCAGGCCCTTATATGCTCACGATCACACTTTCTTCCTCGCACAGCCAAGCTGCATTGGGAAGCAAATAGCTAAGATAGAAGAGTATGCAGCCCTAAATGCTAGATGCTCCATTCCTGTGATCGCTGCTGCCTCCGTGGGGAGAAGTGTTTTGAAGGGATGAACTCCTGAAGGAACCAGATCCAGTACATGCCTGAATCCATTCAATGCCTGAACCGTGAGAGCTTGGGGGAACGGCTCGCCTGGTGGTACCGCTGATACCCCTCCGATGCGGCTGGGAGCAGCAGGAGGCTGCCCAGCGAATCCTTCTGGCAGAGGGCCATGGCCTCCTTGTAATTTATCTTCTCTTTAGTGATAGGGTAAATGAGATCTTTCTCATAGTTGGACTCATCCTGGAGCCTATTGGCCAGGTCGCCTGTTATCATCCCTGTCTGGGCAGCTTCCAGCACGGGGATGCGACCAGTTTTCTTAGGATCGATGAGCCCTCCAGTTAGATGCTGGACCTCCAGGTAGGGGAAAGCACTGTCCTTGGTCATCCATCCCTTCTGAACTGCTTCCCCCACAGACAGCCTACGCTTGGTCACCGGGTCCTCAATCCCTGTGAAAGCTTTCTGGG